GTCATTGGAGCGACTTCTAAGGACGCGTTTGGATCTTCAGAGGCTGTTCCTTCTTGTATTCGTACCCACGTTGAGACTAGATAGTGGCGGGAATCTGGTAGCCGTGATCTCGTATCGTCAAGGCGAAGCAGTTTGTCGTCGTTGATATGGTCGTTGATGTATAATACAGGGGGATGGGGGAGATGGTTCGTTGACGCGTTTGTAAAGTCTTTGACACGCTTGTTTGGCTTCTTGGCTTCGGCTTGGGACTTCCCCTGCTGAGAGGTGGCTCGTTGTCTGAGGAACAACTCGATGTCGCCATCATCGTCGTCTGACGCGAGAGAGTTTCGGTCCTAGCACAATCAGAAATATTATAAATATTAAGTAGACGAAAACAGCCGCGACATAAGAGATAACGAACCGAATTGTAAGGCAATAGCCATATTGGATGTGGGACGGCGGAGTTGGGCATGCGGTAGCGGCTTTCGGCGCTACGTGGTGCTTTCGGTGCGTCCGAGCTCCGTCGAAACGCCCTCAGAATCCGTCCTAACAAGCCCCGCTGATTCTTCGCCCCATTAAGCTTGTTTGGCGGGTGAGCTCGCCAAATGGCAGACCGCACTTCACTGAGCTGGATTGGATGCTGGTATAGTCCTAGACCATCGTACGGCCAAGGGTCCACGTGCACACCTGTACCAGGGGCCTTATTTCGGTATAATGCCCCTCCCTTCGTGAATAGGACAGCCTTTTGTCTCACTCGCGGGTGCTCGAAACCTGGCATACGAGGCTCCGACATCAATGGCTCTTCTTCTGGGCGCTCCGCCAGGGCACTCGCATAGATGTGTAAGCGTTGGATGACACGAGTCTCGAACGTCGGAATCGATCAGCTTCGGAAGAACGGGGGCAACCCATAGATCCTTCTTTACTCACGATGAGGATGTCCGTCCGTCTATCTTCGGGCTGATGTGGCAAGGGTGGCTTAGAGATGTGCACGGGGGATTCAGCAGAATCGTTACTGACTTCTTTGTGGGGATGGTTTGTGTAGGTCTGATCAAGGATAGCACTATGTGGAACTGGTGGTTCGGAACATAGAATTTCTTCCCCCAGAGTCGCCGGGGTCTCCATGACAGTGTGCTTGGGTGTCATGACAGTGGAGTGATTCGGAGAGGGGGTGGGGAGGAGGAAAGAAAAGAGTGCCTCCTATTCATTCTTGGACCGGACGGAGTGAATTGTGCAGCGGCCTGGTTTGTAGGCGTGGCCATATCTATGGCAATCAACAAGTTCAATTGAATGGGTGCCTTGACGTTGGTTGCGAAATATGTTTGGTTGAACATGGCCGTAACCACGGATAAATCCCGCCACCTCCACGGTTTGACGCAATACGATTAGGGCGAAATGATATGTTCCCGTGCACAAAAGTGACACGAATAAAGCTACATTAGGCTTAACAACCGAAATCGCGAGACCAAACGCCATCTTGGAACGGGAAAGGGCCCTTAGACGAATCCCATTCAGCCCTGGCCTCATCCAAACGCTTCTTCCTCTCTTCATACTCATTCGCCCTGACCCATCCTTCCCCCTGCATGTCAAGTTTCTCGTCTAGGTCTACCCAAGCCGTGATATATGCCTCAAGCGCTGCAAGCATCTTTTGGTGTTCTTCCAGATCCTCTTCGGCAACTGCTGGCGGCAGATCGTATTCTGGGAAGCTCTTCCGCAGGCGTCGATCTAAGTTGCGGAGGGTCTCGCGAAAGACGGGAAATCCAATGAACCAAGTGTCCACTACTTCATCCATGAGTTCGACTAGAACTTTGCGTAGGGGGCTCTCCATGGTGAGCTGATAGGGAACCTTCTCATTAAGGCTCAGTTCGATCCCTTTCTGCAACTTTCCGCCAAGTAGTTCCTGATGAACGGCCTTCTTCTGTGTTAGAGGGAGAGTGTTATAGTCTGTAGGTCGACTAGGAATGTCCGAACCAAGCGGGTAGTCGATGTAATTGTACCGGAAAGTGAACGACGAAGGGAATTCGCATTGTAAGATGACAGGGGCGACCCGGGTGTTTTGCCAGTCCAATATGCCGGAGATCCCGTATGGTAGCGCTTCTCGAGCCATGATGTTCCTTGGATTTAAGTCCGGGTGCCACATAATAGGCGAGGTCAGTATGTAATCGTGGGGTGTGACATAAGGCACCATCTTGACGAAGATGTCAAGGATCGCGCAATGGGCCTCGATGGAATCCTCAGCATCAGACCGACGGAAAGGATCGCCCTCTGGTCGACGGACTACGCAGTTCCTCAACCAGGCTTGTTGACTCCTGGCGATAGCTATCAGATACGACTGCATGTCCGGCCCTATCGATATGATTTTAGTAGGATGACGATTAAGACAGGCGGTTGGCTTACAAGGACCACGATCTACATCCAAGCTTGCTTTGTCTGCACTCCAAAACTCTCGCGTGACCATTGGGCCAACTCTGAATCGCTGGGATGCCCGTTCGTCTCCATCATAACCATCCGCATAAAAGGGCCGATCTCTCAACGCTTCGGGAACATCCTCCTTGTAGTATATACTTCCAATTTGTGACAGCGGAGCCTGAAGGAACTTTGAATGTAGATCAACCACGTCCTCCATGAGAGCTTTCGCCTCCGTAGGAACTTCAAGCGTCTCTGTACGCTGATCTACAGTCACGCCTTCGACGAGCTCCATCAAGATAAATTCTGCAGCGACCGCAGTACTGGACGCCCGAGAGCTCCAAGCCAACACTTTGGGAACTGGAATCTCCAGGATTTCTCTGGCATATTCCATGGTCGCAACCTCGCTGGCAGTGGTGAAGTGTGGTGGTCCTCCACGAGTACTCGGAATGCGCGCAATTAGACTTTTGCTATTATCAAAGGTTAAAAGGAAAATCTTGGCGAAGGCCCCTGGTTACTGTATCTTGTAAGCCTTGGCACTAGTACGAGGTTGTTTACTGACTCGCCTTCAGCGACCTTTTCCATTGACGTGCAGGATTCAGCCCCGACTATTTCACAGGCCAACTGCTTCAATTCCGGAACATTAAAGACAGTGCGCCGAAGGGCTCTTTCTATAACAGGTGATGAGTTGCGATGCGAATGGCCAGATACGGACTCACGCTGTTCCTCGTTGATCAGAAATCGGCCTGATGTGTAGTTATAAAATTGTTCATAATCCACAGCTAGGCAAGAGTATGTCCGGGCTAGCTTAGATTTTATTATTCGCGAGACCATGATATCATAAAGAGAATACATACACTGGATGGCCATGTACGGGTTGCTCTGGAGACAACGGAAAGTATGGAACAAGCTTGTTCCCCCTCGAGTGGAAAGTATTCCTTTCGAAACGGAAAAGGACCTCATGAGCACATTGGACATGATGGAGATCGTGATTGGCGAAGGTGAGAACTGGGTGGCGTGAAGCTCATCCCAAACGGTGTTTGGTGTTGTATGTGTAATCTCCGACACTTAGAAGACTCAATCGCCACTGTATCTTCGAAGAATACGCAATACTCTGAGTCGTATCCTATCAAGTTTCCTCGGCCATCCATTCACGGAACCGTTCCAGCAGTCCTTACGAAAACCCCTCATCTTCCCGCCATGCAACCAACTCACCACCATTGAATTAATTATTCTGGTGACACGATGCTACACCCTGAAATATTAATCTACCTCTCGTCATGATTATCCCGATGCGATTGTGACTCTGATGCGTACGTACATACACATCTTGTGACCGTTGTACCTACCTCGCTGTGTTGGCCCCTATCGTCATGTGCCTCACTACCACCAAGACATCAAAGAATACTAAGAGTGGCATCTTACAATCGAGTTGCCTACAACATGCTCGACAACTCATCTGACTCATGTTGCGAACTTCAGATTACTTGGCCAACTTTCGATGTATCTGTCTGATGGATTGTATAAAGCTGAACCGCTACCTTCCTAAGAACGGATTGGACCGAACAACAAGTCGCATCACCTCCCTGCACCTACATCCTCGATTCTTCTTCAGCTCAGTGGTAAGCTTATACCCGCTCCGTGCTACCCCCATCCCTAGCAAGCATCCTCTTTCCCATAGTGTTATTATTACCATTATGTCGACTTCCAAGAAATCTGCCGACGCAGCGATACGCCTAGCCAGTGGTGTGACAGTGCACACTAGTATCTCGTACACAACACATCAGAAGAAGACGGTGAAGCCCAAGATGAAAGAGGTGAGCGTAGATTCTATGAGTCTGTTATAGTGCTCTCAATCGAGGGATCCGCCGCAGGACGAGGAAGACTTAGTCGTTAAAATCAATTCTGGGCTCACGCTCCAAGTCAACAAGGGTGAAAGGTTATGGCCCAAGGACGGCGCCAAGGTCGATAAAGAAGTTGGCTTGCGTATCGACTGGGGAGAAACATACCAAGATGCGGTGACAGGGTTGTGGTTCAAGAATCTACAGATCCAGCCCAACTCAGACGCGATAGCTGAGGCGTTGAAGAAGGCTGCCGGAAGGAATTCGCACATGAAATTAGCGACCATCAAGATCCCGACCACACTAAAGGTTACCTATGAGGACCTTGAAGCCGCCATGGATCAAATTTCCCGCGGAAAAGATAATTGAAGTAGATTGTGTTGCAGTTGACGATTGGTATAATGCATTTGATACAATTGTGAATTGAAGTGCACTGCGAATCGCGATTAGGCCGCGACAATAGCCAGTTGCGCAGCGCTTTTGTTGATGCGGAGTATCTTGCCGTCTTGAACGAGCTCTAATAAAGCTCTACTACCATGGTTCTAGTCTTGCGATGGTTCTGTGGGGAAGGGGATAAGGGAACTCTTTAGAATAGGATATGAAGTGCCAAGCCATCATAGCACACCATCCACAAAGACGAGGCATAGTTAATCTAAAGACAAATTGGACGACGGTGAGCGAGGCGGCATGCCCTCCGACGGTTCCAGCCATGATGTTAGAAATAAAATAGAAATGAATATATTAATAAATTTATTAATAAATTTTACTGATACCAAAGCTTAAGTGGGGTAGTGGTAACCTGGGTCGTTGCCATACAATGAACTCGACCCGCCCGGCGTTCGATTCGCCGCTTAAGCAGT